TAAAGGGAAACAGGGGACTCAGTATTCTCTGGGTGGGAAGGAAAAGTAATCTACGAAATTTCCATGATACTGGTTTTCTATCTCTCTTCCAGACCTTCAGAATATTCCAGTTTAGTAATACTTATTATCTGCTTCTGCTTCTTCATTTCTCCAACTAATGTGCATTAAAAATGCTCACTTATCCACCTGGGCTCAGTGGAGCTTTATATACCATATGTATTTCTGTTAAAGTCTGAACCTATTTTTATATTACATCAGGTTTTCAATTAACCTTGCTTCCACATATTTCACAGCATTAAAAGCAGTTTAGTGTTAAACAGAACTCACATCTCCTCACACCTCCTCTCCTTCCCGCAGAAAACATTAAAATGCAGCTTTTCTATACTGTATGAAACCTTGTGACAGCTGAGTTGCGTAACCAATTCGATATTGGATTTACATTATTTTGAGGGAAATAACTCCAGTAGTGGTCTTCCAGTGTTTCACTCCACTGTTAGATGTACTAGCAGATGTTGCTACACTGAGCTGCATTTCTTCTTAGTGAAGAATGCTCAGTTCAGGGTGGATAGATGCACCTTTTTTGATGTATGCATATATATCTAAAGAAATAAAAATTTATTATTACTATTTTGGAAAATTCTGTTAAATTCAATGCATTTACATGGAAATAAATAAAGAGTAGATTCATGAAGGAAAAATGGTGAGAAATCTCATTCTAAATTGTTGTATTTGGTGCTACTGGATTTCTTCTGTTGAGTCATGAAAATAGTTTGCACAGACTAATGATGTGTAAATTAATGAGTATCTAATGATAATCTATTCAGTCAAGTTAAGGTGTAAAATTAAGCATTGGGTTCCTAGAGAATTTTTAGGATATTACCAGTTCAAGCATTAGTTTATCTTCCTTAATCTCGAAAGTTTTAAAAGTGTTTTGAAAGTATTAATGTTTGCTTGAGATTAATGCTCCTCTTACGAAGGTCTTTGTTGTACTGGATACCATCTGTGACACGCTACTCAGCAAGCTGGAGTCATGACTACCATCATAGATATCCTTGTGATTTGCAATATAAATTTCATTTTTAGGGAATCATCAGTTATGTCCTCTCAGCTGATTGTTTCCCTCTAAAGATGTCACTTGAGGTTGTCTTTCTTAAAGCTTTTTCACTTAAATTTTTTTAATTTATAAATTATAAAATAGTCATTTTTCTCATTTCCACTCCTTTAGTCTCAATTCCTGACTTTGCCAAAACAGTGTAAAATTTTATCTGAATCCTTTATATAAAAATACCTTCATTAAAAAAAAAAAAAAAAGTCTATTCTCAATGTCTCACAGTAGTTTACTTTCACGAAGCTTTCTGGACCATTAGTACTACTATTATCCCCAAATTCTCTTTGCTTCCCAGGACTATAAATTTGCCTTATAGAAATCATAGCATTAGCTTTCTCAGACATTGTATCATTGTATTTTTCTGACAATATTTTGAGGGGCTCGATGCTGTCTCTGCTCAAAACTCCGTGCAGAAAACCATCTGCATTGCCAGAAATGTGATATACATCTTTCTGGCCTTAGAATGGGCTTGACCATGAAAAGAATGGAAATTTGAACCCAAATCACCAACTCTTCATGTCCTCACACTGAAATATGTCCCATGAATATGAAATATTTCATGTTTTTCCTCAAAGTACAAATCATGGTATTTTTCTGAGATAAAAAGCATAGTGGAACAAATATGCCCATATCTTTCAGCCAGTTCAGGTGTCACGTCTGAATATAAAACAGGAATTCAGAGACCTTTTGTGGATCTGCAATCATTTTTCAAGTGCTGGAACTTCATAGTATATTAAATTCATCCACTTGTCAAGTTCTGTTTGCCTGTGACAGACACCTGAGAGTTTTAAATAAAGACACACTTATGACTTGGTCTAGCAAAGGTAGAACATGACCAGGAACTTCTTTATTGTCCCTCCTCCCTTGGTCTTCTTGCACAAAGGCAAGTGATGTTCTTGAATTGATTGAGTTCAGCTTCTGCCTTCTCTCTGAATCTCTCAAAGCCACCAACACCACTGTTCCTACAGATATTTCCTATAAATATATCCAGCAGAGAAACTTCATGACCAAGCTGACTCCCTCCATGGCACAGACACTCTTTTTTCTCAATTCTATCAGTTGCCTACTTACTGTTCCTGAAATCTTCACCATAGCCCTAATCTCCTCTTCAGCACCTTTGACTTATTCCTCAAAGCCTCTTCTCCACCAGAATTTCTTTTTCTGAGAAGGATCTTAACAATTTCTTCCCAGTGAGAACTGATAAATGATCTTCATAACTGCTCCCTTTACTGGCTGCTCTGTTCCTGAAACAGTCCTCTAGCCTGTCACAAGTTATAAAGTTTGCCAACTGCTGTCCTCTGCTCACCCTCTATGCATTTCCCCATCTGATCCCTTTTTTCCTTCAATCTGACACTCTCTTTCTCTTTTCTTACAAATCTTCAAGCTTTCCTTAGCCTTTCACTTATTTGAAATATCCCAGTGTTTACCCAACCTTTTCTTCTAAGAGGCTCTCATACCTGAATTCATGGAGCATGCTGCAGTCCTATCCATCTAATTCCCACTCTCTATTGTCAATGGGAACTGCTTAAACTGGTTTGCAGTAACTTTCTCCAGCCTAATCAGAGTGGGTATTCCACCTTTGACCCTGTGAATCAATCAGCTGTTTTAATTTCAATAATCATACTGTGATGCTCTCCTCTTTTGGCTTCCATTGCACTTCTCTCTCCTCCATGTGCTTCTTGGTGAATTTGCCTTCTCACATCTCCAGTTCTGGAGGTTAAAGGGAAGCCAGAGATTACCTTACACAACTCAAATAATGTTAGAAAAGTTATTTTCTTAGTTTCTTCTATTTTTCTGGATGTTTTGTTTACCATTATTTTCAGGTGACTCTCCCTTTTTTCACCAGCTCATTTAATTTCTCCATTCAGTGTCGATTTCTTCTTCAACTCTTGTTTTCAAGGCAGTACCTTTGTGCTTTCTCTGGAACACTTCAGGTGCTTCTGCAAAGCTGGTTCTTCAAAATTCTCTTCAAAATGTGCTATTACTAGGTTCCCTACAGAAAGTCATAATGGCTATTTTCTTCTTTTTTTTCCCCCTTACTTCATACTGACCTATTGCCTTTTGTCCTCAATCCACTGTACAAATTCTGAGGAGTTCCACTGTGCATTTGGTGAAGGCTAATGCTGTGGAGTCCTGCTCTGTGAGTAGAACTGGGAAGTGCTGTGGTAAAGAGCAGTGAAGGGAACAATAAAGGCCAGGAGCAGTTGAAGTCATGGTTATATCCCTGCAAAATGGGCCCGGCACACTATTCTAACAGTTAATATTTTTGGCAAAAATGCAGATATGGAAACTATGTCTGTGTCCAGATGTGCATACAGAGAGCTGCCAAAACAGAGTAGTATTCACTGTAACATGTGCTGTTTTCATACCTACAAGAGACACAAGCCCTTACCTTGGAAAATGAAACGCTGAATAAACTCGGGGATCAGCAGCTATGGTTCTGGGGTGCTTAACCAGCTAAGTCATTCCCTCCAGCACCCTTTCGTTGTAATCTCCCTCCAAAGATATTAAAAACACAGAAACCTTGGCTAGGGTGTGGTTGATCTAATTTATAAAACATTTTCTGGATATTAAAAGCTAGGGCAATGCACTTGTGGCTTTTAAATTGTGTTAAATATACTGTAAACTCCCTGAAAGAACCTTTCATTGAAGATTATTGTATGAAGATTTGAAGATTAAAGTGTCTAGATTAAAGATTAATGTGGAGTGCACTGGGATATTGTTTGATGTATAAGGAGCTATAGAGTATATTTATCATGCACTTTTCAAAACTGCCTGGGGGAATTAGACACCCAGTTCCCTACATGTCTTTGAAAATCTCACTCTAAGGAATTTGTTGTTGCATAGTGAAAATGGTAATATTTTCATTGGGAGCTTGAGTCCAAGAGGAAAGAAGAGATATGGAGGCCCTCTGTATTCATCTAGGGCTTGATGATGGCTCCTTACAGTTTTTTTTATTGTTTTAAATTTGCTCTGTCATTGTAGAGACAACTTGGGTTTGAGTGCTACAAGATCATAAAACTGGTCTGACCCAAGAACATTGCTCCACCTGCTTATATATTTCTTGTCATCAATTCCACTTCTTCTTCGCTCTCACTTCAAGATAGTTTCATGTTCTCCTAAACAGAAGTAATTTAAACCGTGTATAACATAACTGTACAAACATTAATGAAACAAATGTACATACCTGTGTTTAGTATCATATGCAAAGTTATGCAAAAATATTACATTATACATGTATTTTTTTAAAATAATCCTTTTGCTGGAGTTTTTCTTAGTCTATTTTTTTGTCAAGAAACAGAAAGACTTTAATGAAACAAACCTTTCACATATGGTAGAAATTACAAGTTTTCTTGTTCCTGAAGTGCTGTAATACAAATAAGCTGTTAAATGCCAGCTCTTAATGTTATTTTTCAGATGTTAACAGAGATAGTCCTGTACTAAAACTATTAGGAGGCAAATTTATCTGAACTTCAAAACCCCTTTGATGTGAAAGGAAAATTAAGTGCATATGAGTTGTACACTTCATTAATTTAGGGTTGGCCAATTTTGTGCATTTTTGTTTGTTTGCTTTTTTTCCAGGAGGCGTCCTTCTATTGAAGTTTATTAAAACTAATACTGAAATACACTGGTTTTTTTTCTGGTAAAATCTGTTGAATTGCTTTTATGAAAGGACAATTTTTCTACAGAAAGTACCCTCTGAGAATCAGTATTCAGGTTCACAGACACTTGAAAAGTCAATGTGCAGGTGTGTTGCATTCAGAGCTATTGCAGTGGTCTTATCATTAAACCTGCAGCAGGCATTTATAAAGTAAGGCTTTCACGGGTACTGGCTAAGTGTGATTAAAAGTAATCATCTGTCTGATGAATATTTTCCTCTGACTTTTGGCAGGATAACCCATCTGAAATTGTGCCAGAGTTTACAGGAACACTGATGCCAGCAATTTAGGGATCTTCACATTCAGTCTCAGTGGTAAGTTCTAAAGATGCCATAGTAAACCATGTTAGAATATTACTGGTGTCTGTTATGTTATACTAAAATTGAATCTGTGTGAAAAATGAAGCACTTCCCCTTGACCAATACAACGATAGAGAGATAATAAGAACATATATTGATCTGTGAGAGATTGAGCTCAGGAGCTCAGGACACAAGTTCTGAGCAATTTTCATCAGACTAAAATCAAAAGGGCTTTTTTATTGTCCTCTCTACTAATGTAACTGCTCTCAGAAGGTTTGACATTGTACATTTCAGAGAATGTAACCATTGGGCAGACTCCAAAGAGAAAGTAAAATGCACAAGAAGGAAATCCGGTGGCTTCTTATTGCTGAAAACAAAGCAATAAATTGTAAAATTACATTTGTTTTTTCTCTTCTAATGCTCTCTCTGTTGTAATTAGTCTGATTCATCAAACCTTGAGTCAGATTTTCAAATACTGCTGTGGAGAAATTTGTAGGGAGACATAATCTATCTGTATCTTGAAGCACAACTCTGCTGCAGAGATGACTTCCCAGCTTTTTTAAAAGAAAGGGAAGAGAGGGTAGCTGAATGCTACTGTGCTTTCGTGTCATTTGGAATAAACCTTCTGCAGTAGCTGGGTAGAGTGAAATAGTTCTTTAACTGGAACTCATGTTGGTGCCTAAGTGCTCAGCTTTTTCAGGAAGAAACACCTAATTTTAGGTTATATTATTTTTGACAATATTTTTGGTCAAAATGATTCTCCCTGTTATGCCATATACCTCGTGGAGTGTTTTGGGCCCTGGAGAGGCATTGGAAGTCACCCCACTCCATGTGACACTCCTGCACACAGCAGCAACTAAGGGCTACTGCTGGAGGCAGGGCCTGGGCAGCCCTTGGACTCAGCTTGGCAATTTGTGCTCATGCTGCTTTTAGATCACTGTAATACAGATGTCAAGTATCATCCCTTCCAAGTCCTTACAGTTACAGGCTATTGAAGTATATTTTTTAAAAAAATTAGATTACACTGCAAAAGCAAGAACTTTTCTGACATGGAAACATTCCTCTAGCAATTTATTATCATTAACCAAATACTTCAATAAAATCACTGCTTCCGTTTAAAGATGTATTCAACAACAATAGCAGTCCTATTCTGTCATGCTCTATTCATACAAAAAATGAGCATAATGCTGTGTTATCATGAATCCTCAAGACAGATTACATTTCATTATTGCTGGGTGACTTTCATAATGTGGGGATGTGATTCTAATAAAGGACAGTATCTCCCTTAGAGCATTTATTAGAAATAAAAGAATACAGCACTCATATCATGTTACTTGATCACATAACCAGTGTGCAGAACAACAAATTATCAAGGCAGTTTTATAAGGAAACAATACGATCCTAACAATGCTATTCTTAACTTTTCAAATTGTTATTTGACATTACTAAAATCTATAAGCACTGTGACTTAGAGAGTAGAAAGTCAATGCTGTTCTGACAGACAGAATTCATGAAAGCCAAAAGTGACTGGACTAAACTATGAGATCTTTTTTCCCTGAAAAAAAACCAAGACAATAATGACCTAACAAAGGAAAATAAGAGAGCTGCATTTGTTGTCTCTTAGCTGAGGCAAACGAAAATCCATTACAAGTCATCTGAGGCCCAGCCCTGTGACAAAACTCCTATTCACTTCAGCAAGAACCACTTGGGTAACGGACACTGAAGCACTAAAAACTATAACTGGGTTAGATAAAGTCCTGTAGGATCTAGGAGAAAAAATTGGGGGACTAGAAAGACATACAGGGAGAGAGAAAGAGGAACTTCCATATTCAAGTTATCAGTAAATACACAGCATATGCCTCAGAAGGAGGAACGACCTTCAGGGCATACAGATGACCAGCTCGCTTGTTGAACTGTTATGGAGTTTAAAAATAGTTCAATATTCTGTGCAATTAACAGAAAGTGTGTGTGTGGATGTCTGTTAAATGAGGAAAAAAGAGTGTTCCTTCTTCCTGCCTTTCTTTATTTCACTGTCCCTTCACACTTCATTTCAGCCTTCATATGGGTTTTGTGTTCATACTTTATTATATTTTCTTGAGGCAAGAAAGATTTTCAATGAGAAGTTGATGAATGTCCATATTAAATTGGGTCCCTTTTTTAATTAAGTTCATCTAAATTTAATTTTGCAATTTTACTTCAGTAAACTCATCTGACTCCAGATGTTGAATGTGATTTTTCTATTCCTTCTTTCACATAATTTTACCTGTAAAAGATTTATGACTTAGAGTGACATTTCTGAACACTTTTGAGTGTTTTTAGCATGTGTTTCATGAGTGACTGGTATACATGACCAATTAGCATCCAAAAATACCACTTTGCACCCAGGACTTTTTTCAATAAAGTGATACTTTTATTACTTGAACTTTAAACAAATAATCAGCTTTTAAAAAAGCATTACCCATGCATTTAAAATGATAAGGGGATATTGAATTCTACAGATATTTCAAAAGTGAAAGAGAAGTCTTCAGAAGCTACAGGATTCCATAAGAAAAAATGTAAGAACTACTCACTTAAATTAAAGGAAATTCCAAACAATTGGGGAGGGCAGGGATTTGGACCCTTTTCTTTCATTACAACTGTAGTGGTAAATTGTTTAGAGCATGTCATTTGGACTTTGTAAGTATGGCAAATGTATACTGAAGTGCCTGTTGGTCTTAAAAATTTAAGATTTACTAATTTTTTAAGATATACTCATTTCACTAACAAGAGAAAAGACATTGCAGATTTAGCTGTCACTGCATACTTTTCATATTCTGTCATGGCTTCTGGATCAGTGTGAATGGCTCTAATTTTAAGAATTACCCAGAATCCACTCCTTAAATCTGGACATATCTATTAACTTTGTATGTGACACATACAAGGCATTGTATCATGAAGGCTCTGCTTCTCATCAAAGAAGCACATACCCCAATTAAACTTTCAGATAACACTGAAAAGAGAATAGTCCAGTTGTAAACAAAAGGCTGGTTGTATTTTTTTTTCCTCTTTCATAATGAAATCACTTTTCTTGAGTTTTTTTCTGGTGTAAGCCTCTTGATATATTAATTTGAAAAATTTATCCGTGCAGTCAATAAATCAAATTTCGGACATCTGCATCAGTTCAAGGCTCATGGGATGGAAACTTCTGGGGGTGTGATTGGCAGTATGCTACTCCAGGTTTGTTTGGAGATTTCTTCAGAACAAGTGGAGATCCCAGAACCAAGCAGCAGCAATGTTAATATGAATCAACTTCTTTAGTTTCTCCTTTCATATTCCTCCAGGCCTCCATAATAGTACTTGGCACTGACTAAAGGGTTTGAGGAGGTGTTGTTATTGCTGTAGTCCATGTGTTAGGGAAAGGAAGGAGTGAGTGACCAGCTGGGAGATGTCAGTGGCAAGTCTGTAGAGCCATGTCTCTAATGATTTTCCATGGGCAGTGAGGGGAAGTCAATTGCAGGGAGCTTCTCGGTCAGAGCAAGATCATAAACCCTGGAAATCTGGCTCTTTTGTGCTCAGATCATGTCTTTCTGGTGAAAAAATGACCTTTTAGTGAAAATCACACTTTTGTGAGTGTTAGATACCAGTATCTTTCTCATAATGCATTTTTCTACCTTTATATTAATTCATCTGTGTTTCCTAAAAGGACTTTTCTCCATTCATCAATAGCAGGTGTGATTTGCTTGTTTTTCTAGCCAAAGAAAGAAACATAACAATCCTCCATTGGGTGGAATGCTTCTGAGCTTGAAAGGCTTCATGTGTGAGTCTGGATGGGACCCAAAGAAGGAACCACTTAGAAATTACAAAATGACACATTTTATGTTATTGTTAAATTGCCGAGATTTTCTGTATATTTGCCGAGATTGTAACCATACGGGGTGTTTTCAAAGCCACTAGAGAAAGGGATGTTAAACCTCCATGGTCTTAAGAATTCCTAATGACTGCCTGCCAATACGGCTGAATCCCGCAGGGTAATGGGGGGAATGCCTACCATGTAAATATAAAGGGGGTTATTTAGGAGACCCAGTGAGCTGTGAATTATTGCCTAGGTTGTCACAAAAAAAAAAAAAGGAAAATGAGTTGTGAAGAGGAAGGAACGTGTACTGAGTTCTGAATAGCTTTGTAAGACTTTTTCTGAGATAGATGGGAAAACTTATATACACTCTGCAAAAAGAGATATCTGTTCTGTCAGATTGCAGATGCATCAGCCACCCAGATTACTGTGAAAAACCCATTAAAGAAACAAAACTGGGTTATTTTTATGCCAGAAAAATGCATGAATCAGAAGAAAATAATATTAGTTCAATAGCTGACTTTAAGGTCTTTGTGGATCTGGTTTCTGGTGAAGTCAGGGCAAGTGTTTCCACTGCATTTAGCAGGACCTGGCCTGGGTCCTTGGAGATTAAAGTGTTAAGAGCTGGATTGACAGCAGAGGTAGTAGGGACCTTCCAAGCCTGGTTGTGTTGTGCATCATTAGAACAAAATAATTGAAATTATAAATTTGGAAATATTTCTAAAAAATTTCACTTAATGTGCTGAAGCTTGTAATCTGTATCCCAAATGCATAGTCTGAAAATCTGCACTGTGCACTTGTATAATATTACATATATGCAAATATTTAAATTTTTTATAGGAAGAATTTAATCAAAATTTTGAAACTCATCTTTCTGTTCACCTCAGGCACTCTATCACAACTGAGGCAAAAAACCCTAGGGCAGTAAGATCTAAACAGGACATTGTATTTACTGTATGAAAATCATACAATCTCTGTATTTTTTGTTCCATTATATTGTAACAGGAACTTACTTGCTCTCAGCATTGTATCTGTTCTAATGGAGCCTGAGGGTTTATAAGTATGGTGACAGAAAGAGCATATGAAATGAAAGAAATTTATGTCAGCTGAGTTAAGTTTTTACAGCTACTTCCTTTAAGCAGATTTGGCTAGGAATAATGTCTTGGTTTTCAAAATTCAAGCTTCT